CCCAAGATCCCGAGAGGAGGATGGGGGAGAGGGGATTGCAGCATGGCCATCCCCCTGAGGGGTGATTTCTCGCTTTCTGTCTCTCTGTTTCTTTCTGTCTTTCTGGCAAGCGCAGGTGCCCTATAGCAAAAACCTCTCAAAAAAAAAAATCTGTATTTTATTATAATAGGACTACACAATACTGATAGTTATTTGCATTTTTTAATTGATTTGTATGTGATAAGGCAAAATAAAGAAAAAGAGCAGAATTAATTGGGTCTATTGATCTCATTATTTGTAGAAGAACTTTTACTAAAAACATTAATTTGGGAACATCATTTCTTTTTTTTTTTCCTTTTTTTTTTGGAGAGGTTTTTGCTATAGGGTGTGTGTGCTCACCAGAGAGACAGAGAGAGGCAGAGAGACAGAAAATGAGAAATCATCCCCCGGGGGGGATGGCCACACTGCAATTCCTTCTCCTCCATTCTCCTCTTGGGATCTTGGGCACACACGCATGCATGCCTGGCATGAGTTTAAGTCACCAGGTCCGGGACTTGAACTGCAGTTGACTACATGGAAGTCCATTATGCTAACTGCTGGTCCTGGCACATCATTTCTGAAGATTATTTTTTAGCAGTGTGTAAAATGGGGAAACATGGAGCCCAGTTAGAATGTCCCATCCAATGCCACATATGTATTTATGCCTTCAGTCAGAAGGTATCTCATGTCCACAAACCATACGATGTATGGCTCTTACAACAGTATGTCCTGTCTTCCTAGTTTATTTTTCTTACAGCTCTTGTCAGCTTAGTCAGGAGGTTTCTCTTAGTAACTGTTCTGTCAAATCCATCTGTCCTTCCGGGTCTGTGCAATGTGACAATAGGACTGTCATTCAGTGCTCCTCCAAGAGAGCAGAGAGCAAGTGAACTCCCTTCTGCTCCCCTGCTGCGGAGAGGACATTCTTCAACCTAAGTGCTCAGAGAGCATCGAACTATTCTTCACAGTAGATTCATCTCAGAGCTGTGAGTTCTCAGGGGTATGACGCCCAGGGCAAATCACACTGGTTTCTTCTCGTATTTTTACTGAGGTCAGTTCAGGTTCAAAGGAATAGCTCAGAGGGGCTGGTGAGTCTTCAGATATCCAGGAGAAGTAAAGGCTGTGCAAGAGGGTGTGCAGTCTTGGGGCATTTATGACTGGGGTGGGGGCATTTATGAGCCCGTTTTGTGTCAAAGGTACTCATTTTCCCCTTATAAAATTTCTGAGTCCCTTCTGCCACGAATTTAGGGCAGAAGATCACAAGGTCATTACCCCAATTCCTGAAAGTCATAGGGACAACTCTTGGCCAGGACAGCTTCCTAGCCGTGGGACCTACACAGACGCAGAGGGCCCCAGGCTTACAAGAGCCCCACACTTGTTCTCTTGTCTCTGTCTTGAAATTCTTAATGCCGTTGAACCAGGAGCTCCGTTTATTTATGAATGCACATATGTCAAGAGCCATAAGGCATTTTTAACTCAGAATACAACCTGTTTCTCATTTTACTGCACTCTTTACCAATGATAAAAGAACAAAAGGAAGTTAGGGCTGGAAACAGACTGAGACTAAAATGAGCCCAATTTTGGATACAAATTACATTTACGTTCTCTAGGATATTACAATTTTGTGACGCTTTTCTAGGATACCCATCATTTTTGCTTTCCATCTGGGTTGATTGGAGTATTTTGAGTTAGTGAAAGGTGGTTTGCTAGACATTTCTAACTAGGGGTACTGTGTAGCTACACAGAGGTCACTGTAGGTTTTTGATCGATTTTTTAAGTGAGAAAACCTTGGTGCAAAACAAGGTGTTGGATTATAGCGCATCTGTTAATCCTAAGGGATGGTGCCAGCCCTACACAGAGTGAAGACGGGGGGTTTCCAAGCATCCCTCCACCTCCTCTCAGCATCCTTTTGTCACATTATTTTGTACTCCTTCCTACCTATACTAAAAATAATTAATTTCTGGAAAACATGTATATAAAATCTCATTCTCTCTCTGCCATTTGATTTGAGCCAAAAATCTACAACCCATTTCTGTGTGGCTTTGTTCTAAGTTGACTTTCAGGCAAGAAAGCTATCTGGTAATTAATCCTTGTTAAATTGTTACCTAGTACTAACTTAAGGCATGGCTTCCACCTGAGATGCCCTGCATTTCAGTACTTAAGGCCACAAAGTGCAAAGTTGCTAATTTGTCTTTGGGAAGCTCACTGACCTGAGCCAGTGGGAGCTTCCTCCAGGCCTCTAATTGTGCCTGGCAGACATCTGCCTTCGTGTCTGAGTCCACGAGCTTCGGGAGATGGCCTATGTGGCTGTGAGACAGAAGAAGCCATCCCCACCATTCTTGAGGTTCATGAAGTCAGTCGGTTAGCTCAGGAGCTCATCTAGACTAATGCTTCCCACCTTGTCACGCTGTCCCACTCATGGCAGATGCTGACATACAGAACAGTAACACACTTTAGCTCCAGTTCTTCCCACATCCTCCTTGCTGACTTTGCCTCCTAGGTCACTGAGAAATAGAATTAATCACTGGAGAACTGTCTCTACTTCCTCCTCATCTCCCACCTGTCAGCAGCTACACTTCCAAATACTCTGCCTTCTCTCCCGACTCATTCGGAACTATGCCATTCCTGTAAGCCACTAGATCCCATCATCGCTTACCTGCTAAGGTCATCACTACAGCAATTCACTCCCCACTTCTGGATCATTCCCATCTGCGTACAGTGGGCCATTAATTTCTCTTACCTTAAAAATGGAAACAACCACCCATCTCTGGATCCTAGTACTTGCTCAGGCATACTGTCCATTTCTATTTCCCTAAACATAAAAATTCCTTGAAAAATTTAATTATCCTTGCTGTTCCAGCTTCTGGACTCATGTTCCTCTTTAACCTGCTTCAAGTTTTAAACATTTTCTTAAGAAAGTGAGAAAGTGAGAAATCGCGCCCTCTGGGGGAATGGCCATGCTGCAGTCCCTTCTTCTCTGTTCTCCTCCTGGGATTTTGGGCACACGTGCACACACACCAGGCATGTTTTTTAAGCTGCCAGATCGAGGATTCAAACTGCTCAGGTGGCTCTGTGGGATCCTAAGTTCACTAATAAATTCCATGTTGCTCAACCCAATGGTTTATTCTCAGACCTCCTATCACATGACCTCTTAGCCACATTTTAGACAGTTTATCACTCTCTTCTCCTTCAAACACTTTCTCTGCTTGGCTTCAAGGACCCCGCTCCTCTGATTTATTCCTACCCCACTAGCTGTTTCTTCTCATGTCCCTTTGCTAACTCTTCCCTGTCTCCCTGTCCTCTCCACAAGGGAGTGCCCTAAGGCAAGATCTTTGGCTGTCTTTCTTCTGAATCGACACTCACTCCCTTGGGCATCTCATCTAGGCTTATGGATTAATTATAAATATTATCTGTATGCTAAATACTCCCAATGCTGTTATCTCCAGCCTAGATCTTACTCTTGAACTCCAGACTCATTTATCCAGCTACTATTCTACTTCAACATTTAGTAGGGATATCACTGTGTTTTATTGCCAGAGGGTGTATATGCTCACCAGAGAGAGAAAGACAGAGAGAGGAAGGAGAAAGCACCCCCCAATGGGACATGGTCATACCAGAAATCCTTCTCCTCCATTTTTCCATCCTCTTGGGTTTGGGGATCACATGCACATGCACCCAATGTGTTTTTCAAACTGCCAGAGCTGGGATTTGAACTGCAGTTGACCATGTGGGAACCAGCTCCCTTAACCACTAGACTGTGGGGCCAGCTCCGGAATCTCACTCTCTATCCGATATTCCAAGTCTGCTCTTAGCCCCCTCTTCCTGTCTGTTGTAGGAAGGCTAGTCAGAGGGAGCTTATTAAAACATAGGGCAGATCACAGCAGTCTTCAACTTCAAAGCCCATCGTGGCTTCTGGTCACTCAGAGAATAAAAGTCAAAGTCTTTACCGTCACCTCTCAGGTCGAACCCACCTTCCTGCAGTTACCTGTCCCTTTTAGTGTCATTCTGTGTCAGCCATCTTTGCCTTCCCGCCACTCCTACAACAGTGCCTGCCCTAAGTGCCTTCCCATTTACTGCCCCCTCTGTCCAGCCTACTCCTTCCCAACATGTGCGTGGATTGTTCCTTTGCCTCTTTGTTCAAAATTATCTTCGTGGTAAGGCCTTCTTTGACCATTCCTTTAAAACTGCTGTGCCCTTTCCTATCTGCCTTCTCTGATTCGTCATTCTCCGTGGCATTATTACTTTCTAACTATCATTGTTTTCTGATTTACCTTTTACCTTTCTCACCCCAGAATGTAAGTTCTGTGAGGAATGTACCTCCAGTGTCCAGGTCAGCTCTGGAGTCACAAAACATGCTCCACACACATTTGTTAAATGGGTGGTGCTTTTTCTTTCTACCAAGGAAAGATACAACAGCCTGTATGTGATTTTCTGAAAGCTAGTTTTCCAGAGAAGTGACCTGATCTCTAAGGATCTGTGTGTCTTTCTTAAGCTCTTCCTGACACAGCTGAAAGAATGGCTGTGATGGGGCCAGTGGGTGGCATGGTGGTTGAGGTGCTGGACTCCCCCATGGTCAATTGCTGCTCAAGTCCCAGACCTGGAGGTTTGCTTTCTCTCTGTCTGTCTCTTTTTGGTGAGCACATATGCTCTATAGCTAATTAAAATAATAATAATAATAGTTGAATAAATAATTCTTTGAAAAAAAGAGAAAAGAATGGCTGTGCGACACGACAAGCTCCTGGGTTGTGTTGCATCTGAATATCCTCTGAGTCCCTCCCCAGCTAATCAAACTACAGACCCTGGAACTTTCAGCAGAACATGTGAGATGGACATGCTGTGTAGCACTTTTACTACTCATAAAGGGTATTCTTTTTGCTTAGTAATTATTAAGCAGCTTTGTTTTCCGTGCATGCCTCTTTTTAAATATTATCATAAAGATTAACCTTAGGAATTATTTGTAGCGATGCTATAGTCTTCAAGTTTGGCATATTATCATTGCTTGCATTTATTCTACATTGTAGTCATATCAAATAACTGCACATTTAAAATAGATCATTGCTGCTCACCACCATAATACATCTTTCATCAGAGATTGTAACAAAACAAACAAACAAAAAGAAGCGAATCCTGGGAACGCCTTGTGGTCTGCAGCAATCCACTCTCATGCCGAGCATGCTTGCTGGCCGCTTCTTGAGAAGCAACACGAAGTCAACAGGGCAAGACTACCATCTGAGAATGTGAAATGTCATTCTCCCAGTTCTGCCGCAGAAAAGGGCGAACTGCTCATAGTTATCTACCTCCTCCCATTACAAGAGCAAGAAATACAAGGAACCTTGTAAAATTTATTCACGATGCAGAAGTTCAGATGAATAAAACAGCTGGCAATGGCATCTTGCCTCTGAATTTGATTTATAAAAATATTAGTAAGCTCGATTTTATTTTACTGTTTCATTTGGGGAATGATGAAGATAGTCTTTTTTTAATCATTATAAATCTTCAGAATTGATGTCATTTCTCACAGTATTGTCTGGAATTCCAAAAATGTCCTGTCAGGGTTGATCTGGGCATTTCTGGACTTGACAGTTGGTAGAAGTTGGGTAACCGAGTATCGTAGTGGTGTCTTTTTCCTATATATATCCTGTCATTCAGGGCATAGAGTTTGTCTGCAATGTCACTGCCAATTAAAACTGAAAACAGGCGGGAGATGTAACGGTGCTGAGCAAAAAGCAAATATAATTTCTTTCTCCTCCAAGACACATAGCGACAATCAGTTTCTGCTGTAAGGGTTACCTAAAAAACACAAGACCACAGATAAACAAAGATGAGGAAACAAGAAAAATTCTGCGACATTTTTTTCTGCTCCAGATTTTAAGTGAGTTTCATTTCCTGCCTCTTTTTGCTCAAAAAAGCCCAATGAGCCACAATATATTGTGAAAACAGAAAAAAAAAAAGTACAAAACTTATTCTACTCATATCATTACGCCAACTGCTGGTCTCTGAAGAGTCTTGTTTTTGGTTTTTTGTTTTGTTTTGGTTTTGGAGAGGTTTTTGTTATAGGGCACATGTACTTACCAGAAAGATAGAGAGACAGAGAGACAGAAAGCAAGAAGTCACTCCCCAGGGTGGATGGTCATACTACAGTCCCTTCTCCTCCATTCTCTCTTGGGCACACACATACACGTGCCTGGCGTGAGTTTAAGCTACTGGGTCCGGGACTCGAACTGCGGTCGACTACATGGGAGTTCAGCAACATAGACATTACACCAACACTACTCATATCATTAATGAGATGAGTAAATTACAATATTGTGCTCATCCCAGTTTGTTTACTCAATTCAGTTATCTATATTTTGGATTTTATTGAAGGGAAAGCTACTTGATTTAAAGAAAGAAAATTGGGTCAGTTAATGTTAGCATTTCTGAGTCAATTCTGAACATAGTGGATATTTAACTTAAGCCTAAGTTTCTATGGTACAAAATATTGGGTCGTCAGAAAAGTCATGATGTAATTTTCTGTGCAAAAATGCATCATGAGGGACCAGCAGTTAGCGTAATGGCTATGTCACTGGACTCCCATGTAATGGACCGTGGTTCGAGTCCTAGACCCGGTGGCTTAAACTCACGCTGGGCATGAGTGCTTGGGTGCCCAAGATCCCAAGAGGAGAATGGAGGAGAAGGGACTGTGGTGTGGCCATCCCCCCTGGGGGGTGATTTCTTGCTTTCTGTCTCTCTGTCTCTCTCTGTCTGGCAAGCACACGCGCCCTATAGCAAAAACCTCTCAAAACAAACAAACAAACAAAAAACCTCTCAAAAAAAATGCATCATGACTTTTTTGATGACCTGATAGAACTTATGTATCTATTTTGAATACGGATGTGAACTTGTATTATACACGCATATTATCTATTAATGCACACGAAAACAGTGGTACAATGAATGGAGCCCCTGAAATGATTACCTTTCAAGGCTACCAGATATGAAAGCAGAGTACTAACAGTGAGTTTAGCATTCTGCTGCTAGAAAACAACATCTGAATTAAAAATGTTAAAATCTATCAGCATTTTAAATTTTTAAGAATGAACTTTACAATAAGTACATTTCTGTTTGTCCTTGGTGATTGTTCTGAACTGTCACACTGGCAGGTTTAGTTTACAGTCAATTCTCAATTAATTATATTTTAATTCCCAAATATGCAGTTATTTAAAGGAAAGCTTAAAAATGTTTATCATGGAGGCTAGCAGGTGGCATGGTGGTTGAGGTGCTGGACTCTCACATGGCCGACCATGGTTTGAGTCCCAGACCTGGTGGCTTGCTTTCTCACTTTCCTCCTCTCTCTCTCTGGTGAGCATATGTGCTCTGTAGCAAATTAAAAAAAATAAAATAAAATAAATAAAAAATAATAAAATTAAATAAATAATTATTTTTAAAAAGTGTTTATTATGGTTTCTTTCCTGTCACATGTAATACCTGTTCTCCTTGTTGTGGGACCTATAGAGTGGCGTGAATCAGCAAGAGTCAGGGCCAGAGGTTGGAGCAGCAGTAACACAACTGGACCTTCATGAGAAGGTCCCAGATTCATGGCCCACGGCCTCCCTCTGATGCCGAGTGTGTGTACACATGGCCATGATCCAAGTAGGTTGATTCTGGCAGTGGATCATGGCATGAGGACCTTGTCAATGGTGCCTATCTCATTCAATAAATAAACTTAAAAAAAATCAGCAGGAGTCAATCAGAATTGGGCCGTCAAATATCCTGCGAAGTACGTTCCAAAGTTAAATAGAAATCATTCTTGTGTTTCCTGCTTTTCTGCTTGTTTCTCTCCTTGTTTTAAAACAAACATTTCTTACTCTTGGAAAGAGGGAGCACTAACTGAGTGGCCTAGTTACTTCTTACCTGAAAAATGCCTTCCTCTGTGGGTCTCAGTGAATCCCACTCAGGAGAATCCAGGAACTGGAGGGGGAAAATGTAGTGCAGAAATTCACCATCGACTGTCACTCTGATCCTACCAAAACACAGGAACATGACAGATGAGCGAAGGAGAAGAAGCATGTGATTATGGGAAGGGTATTTCAGATCTCCGATCTTTCTGTTCTTTAGAACTGTGAAGGGCAAAATATTAAACTGTAAAAATTACAGCAAGTGACACAACATCCTGTAACATTCACGTGCTGATGTGCTGATGTTCTTCAGTTAGGATTCTGAAGTATTGGGTGAAATTCATCAGAAAATTCATCAGGTTGTACAAATGATAGGTGTCCATTTATGAGTATATACTGTACTTCAGTAAAAAGTTTCAGTGCACTCAGAGTTTGGATTATAATAACTAGGCAAACATTTAAGAGCATAAAGGGTTTCTGCTGTAAATTCCTCTGTAAACTAAATTTTTACCCTTTTTAGAGACATGAATAATCACATGTTTTTTTCCCCCAAACTTTGTTTGCAAAATTTAGGTATATATACATTTTTTGAGGTGCCCCTCTTCTGCTGCTAGCAAATGGACAATTGCTAGAATTTGCTGAAAAGGAGTGATGATTATAAAATTTACATATTCTCTATTACTTAGAAGAATGTCCTAGCAAAGAGCATATTTAAAGGACTTTGCATATCTACATATTATATTAATTCAAGCTGACATTATCTTTTCCTTGACATTCAGTGATTAGGTAGGAAACAAATATCATACCCAGATAAACAAATTCATACTTTAGTTTTAAGATCCAGGTCATTTGATTTCTTTTTTCTTTTTTCCTTTTTGTATTGCCAGAGGATGCATTTGCTTGCCTGCCAGACAGACAGAAGGAGAGGGAGAAAGCACCTATAATGGGGCATGGTCATGCCACAATCCTTTCTCCTCCATTTCTCCATCCTGTCAGGATTTGGGACACATGCACACGTGTCTAGCATGTTTTTTAAACCTCTGGGGCTGGGATTTGAACCATAGTGGCCACATGGGATTTTGCTTCTCTTAACCACCAGTTCACAGGGCTGGCCCATGTCATTTGCTTTCTAAGATGAAATATTAAGGCTCTAAATTTTTTCCTGCTTCCAGTAAATCATACCATATACTCTAAATGTCTGTGTCTATGATTCTGGTATCAAAGACTTTCTCAAGCTTCAGGGTACTCAACGCCACCCAGAACTATGCTACACTGAGATGGAAGAAGACAGTGAAAAGAAACACACACGAATGACTAATAAAGAGGAAGGACATGCAAGCACCAAGGGTACAAACCTTCCTGAAACAAGCAGAGAGAGTTTATCAATGGAGGTTTTCCCCTGCATGGCATAACAGTGCTCCTTTTCCAAAGTAACCACTTCGGAGCTCAAAGCAATCGTTCTGAAGACAGGCAAAGAGATCCCCAGGGGCTGGAAAAGGGAGCTGTACAGCACCTGGAATTCTCGGGCAAAGGTTATGCTGCGGACTTGATATGCAATATGAACAAACTGCATGAAGCAGATGACAAACAGTACAAAATTCCAGGAAAATATGTCGGCTGCACAGACATCTACCCAAGCCCAGACGGCAGAACAGAGAAAACCCAATCCCAGCAAACTGAAGACATAAAGGAGCCCGTAGAATCCACTGCCACCCATGAAACCTACTACAAAGAAAATACTGGCAAGATGATAAATGGCTCCTTCAGCCTCTTGCGTCCAGGCTGTGCAGACTGGGTGTTCATCTACTAAGTTCTTCCACAGACTTGAATTTCTTTCCATGGCGGCACCACTCTCTGGTTCACTTTTCAGTTGACTTTAGATGAGACTGAAGCAAATTAAGTCTTTTGCCTTTCCATCATCAGAGTTTTGCTCTTTAGCCATGAAACCAAGGGAGTTGGTGGTGATTAAGCTGGGCACATATGGATCTTGAAAAACTAAGAACTCCATACTAGTTCAGCTTCATCTGGGCTCCAGATTTAGAACTAGTCCATGAATATTTTGGTGTTTCCTGTGCAGGAAAAAAGAAGAATAAAGGATCTAATTAAACAAAAAGGAAAATTAAGGAGTCAGCAGGTGGGGGTGGTGGTTAAGGCGTTAAGAGTCCCACATGGCTGACCGTGGTTTAATTTCTAGACCTGACCGTTTGCTTTCTCTCTCTCTCTCTCTCTCTCTCTCCTCTGTCTGATGAGTTCATGTGCCCTGTAGCAAAATTTAAAATAATAAGATTAAGTCAACAAGTTTTTTAAGAAGGGGAGAATTGAGAGATATATTTAGTGAGTCAACAACTCTTTTATGCAAGCCAATCTTCTATTGTCTCTGATGTTACAGTATTTTAAGCACAAATGCTATGCAATGTTAATTAAATTCCTACAATATACAAAATACATTTACTAGAATGAACTAGCTACATACTTTTCAAGGTAGCTAAGTGCTCTATAGTCAGTCTCTATAGCTTTGATTCAGTGTTTTATTGGAACGGTGACAAAAATGCAGATTTGCGGACTGATTCCAGACGCACTGAGTTGGAATCACTGAGGGTGGGACCCAGATGCTTGTATTTTGAATAAGCTGCTCAGATTCTGATGGATTAATCCATGGCTCTCCATGGCTTACCCTCTGAGGGGTACTGTCTAAAATATGTTATTCGCTGTTTACATATGAAGAATTTGAGGCTCAGATGGGTCAAGTCATTTATCTCAAGTCACACAGTACCAGAATAGAACTTCAACACTCATGCCCATGTGCTGGGTCCAATCATGTGGCCACTCCTGAAAGATGTTTTACATTTGGCACTGTAAGGGACCACACTAAATGGAAAACCCCAAGAAATTCACGAAGAGTTAGATTTTAGGAGCATAACATAGAACACGAAAATGTTTAGTCAGTTAGATTGAAATTATTTGACAAACGTAAATTTGGTACTACTTTGCTGCATTAGTTGTTATTTCAGGTTAAAGGTTGCATCCATATAGCTAAATAAATATTAATACTCTTGCTACTTGCACATTTCTTTTTGCCAGATGGGCAAAAATGTTACTGGCTCTATTCTTCTGCACATACATTCTCTACCCTTTCAGCCATATGGCAAAAATGCTAATCTGTGAGCTGAGTCAGGAGAGAATCAGCCATGATGGTAGAACTATTGATATAGGTACCATTTGCCACTGGGTTTCCTAACAACCAGTGGTTTCAATGGAAAGCATTCATTAGATTGATTTTTTAAAACCAGAATCACATTTGAAAGCTTTGAACTTGTGTGCTATATTTAGTGTTTCATTTTTGAAATAGATTATTTCTAGAACACCTGTTAATAAACTATCAGGTATCACAGATCCTGTCCCGGGGTGGGGGGAATATACAAGGTGAAAATGAGATAGTAAAAAGAGTCATTTAATTTACAAGGAATAAAAAAGGGAAGAGCTAAGCACCAACAGAACCAGAAATGGATCACAGGAGCTGCTCTGGTGCTTCCTCTTTGCCAGTGATCCTTTTCTCAGCAACGAACGACTTGAGAACACTGTGAGGTCGGTCATTAAAAAAGAAGAAAAAAAGAAAAACGTTCCTTAGTTCTGCAACTTAAAATCATACCGTAATTTCTACTTCACATGTTTTCAGATACACTTCAGACATCCTGCATGTCCCTTACTATCGTCCTCTCCTCAGTCCCTCTGTGAGACGATGAGATCCGAGGCAGATTCGAGGCCGACTGGCACCCTGCACATGCTCACTGTCTCCTCTTTTAAACAAAACACACAATTTATACTACTGGATAGTCACACCAAAGAGAAAATTTTAAAAATACAATGAGCAGTGGAAAACTTCAAAATACCAGACTGCAAATGTCAGTCTCCCTGCTGTTTTACTTTTAAAACGAGGGTATTTTAAAATCATACAGTTCTTCAGCATACCAAATACAGCCAAGAAAAGCCAATATTAAAAAGAACTGCTAGTAGTGCTCTGAACTTTGGTCTGAACTTCCTTAAAAATTTATAAGCCTCAAGAAAATGTTAAATGATGCTAATAGGGAAAGGTCATGTAAACCATTTGTGTTAATTCAGAAGGGAACTTAGGGGAGCCTTGCTCTTGGCATGCTGGACTCCCACACGGCTGACCACAGTTAAGTCCCGGACCTGGCAGCTTGCTTCCTCACCACCACAACCCCTCCCCAGTCTCTGGTCAAATTTAAATAAATAAATAAATAAATAAATTCTTTTAAAAAAAATCTGGACTGGGAGGATAGATTGGGACTCTCCATTTTGAGAGTATGACCCATGATGATTAAGAGCTGTGCTTCCACCCTTCCCAGTCTACTTTGCATTAAGCTGCGGCCAAACCATCCTGATACTGTATTGCTCAATGCAGCACGCTGACTTGCCCTGATTGAATTACTCACACCAAGCCTTCCTCCACTTGGTGTTTTTATTCAGTCACCAAAACAGATGTACTTTATTAGGAGGGGAAGAACTGACAGGGGCAGGTGATGACCAGCAGTGTCCTCTGATAGGGGCCAGCGGCACCAGATGAATGTTAAACATGATTCATCAACCAGCTGCCTGCCTCCAAGGCCTGTCAGCCTGAAGTCATGTTTTTGTGTAAATAAATGCTGAAATGCCAAAGTGGCATAAGGGTTTCTCCCTTAAACCATCAAGCTGATCTTCTCTGCAAAAGAAGTTAGCACACTAAGCTATAAATAATGCTATCCAAAGTACTGATAATTGCAAATAAACAGAATGGTCCGTGGCTCACCCCTTTTTTCCCTCTTAAATTGTAAGACTGAGTGAAGTAGGAATAGGAAATGCAAAAGAATATACCATGATGCTCAAGGAAATGGGATTAGCTCAGAAATCGTGTTTATCTGTTCAGAACATTTACCCGTGTTATCTCAAGGCATCACACTGCCAGGAGGGAGGTAGAATCAAAATCATCATGCCCGGTTTACAAATGAGCAGAGCAGAGTGTAAGATTGATTAAGTCTTTGGCTCCAGTGAAAAGAGGCAGCAAGCCACATGCAGTGATGCAGAAGCTCCAGTGCCCTCGCCCAGCTTCATACCCTCGCCAGCAGGTGATGCCACATTAATGTGCTGGGCAACCAGAGTGGGATATTCCCCCAAGACTGGTTTGCCAGAAAATAAAAATCTTAAAAATGGATATTTAAGACCTGCTGTATCTGCTTGTATATACCGCTTAGAATCCTGCTGGGGACATAGCCATGCAGGAAATAATTTGCTGTATTATTATCCAACCTGGGCTGATGTCCTCTCCTGGACTGAAATTCTGAAGATCAGCAGGGGCAAAGACAAATGTTTTATATTTCTAGCCCTCAGCACACAATGACTGTTGATTGCATACATCCAGCATAGTGTAAGCACTCTGCCTTCTCCATCCCCAACCTTTACCCTGTTCAATGGAAGGTCTAACATCTCTTGTCACTGAGGGGCACAGAGCAGGGAGGATTCAAATCTCCAAGGTAGATTAGTAGAAAGACACTGAGGAGTTGGGGAATCACTTTTTCAAACCGTCTGGCACAACCCCAAACTCATAGGGGAATCCTTTTGTCTGCTTATGACCTTGAGCTGCTTAAGAGCAGTTTAATTACGGCTTTGATTAAAAACAATTCTCACAGCCAGTGTATTGTGTTAGTGTGGGTTGCTAGGCAACCCACAAGCTCAAAATTCCATCAATATTCTATTCATTAATTGGAATTATATCCCAACTTTGGCGTGTGGTCCATGTGCTAACTTCTCATTTTCTTAAGCTGGTTTTCCCTACTTACCCTCCAGGGTGGTACATTTACTCAGCAACTATGTGCCAGGCATATTGAAAAAAATGATCTCACTTAACAACTCCGTGAGGGAGCTACTATTATCTCCATTTTACACATGAGAAAATTGTAATTCAGAGAAGGTAAGTAAGTTGTTCAAGGTCGCATTGCTTATTACAGAGCTAAGATTTTACCCAGGTCTGCCTGATTCCAAAGCTCCCAGCCTAAAAGCACAATATTTTGCTCCCATGACACAGGATTTAGAAAACGCAGGCATTAGTCTCCTCTCTGCTACTTTAGGTGAACTCAGGCATGGTTATCATCAGTGAAGAATGGAATAGCTCCTATTCTATCTACTTTAAAACATATCAGAAAGTTTACATACTAAAATCTATAATAAAACATTTTCTTGCAAATTTAAAAATAATATAGAAGCAGTAGCACTATACTTGTATGTTTGTTGCTTACTATATGTTATAGAGTTGGGCCATTAGAATAGTATAGTTTTGTTTTATTTTATTGTTTTTTTAGAGAGAGGTTTTTGGTATAGGGCGCATGTACTCACTGGAGAGACAGAGAGAAACAGAGACACACAAAGCGAGAAATCACCCCCCAGGGGAGATGGCCACATTACAATCCCTTCTCCATTCTCTGCTCAGGATTTTGGGCATGCACGTGCACGTTCCCAGCTTCAGTTTTAAGTTGCCAGGTCTGGGACTTGAACTATGGTCAGCTACATGAGAGTCAAGTGATGTAACCATTACACCATCTGCTAGTCCCTAGAATAGTATCGTTCTTAAAAAACTCTCTTTCCCCAGGATGATTTACAGATGAAGACAGCGGTACAGATAAGTCACTTTTGGCTGCAATCAATCTTTAAATTATAAATTCTGGGGACCAGCAGTTAGCGTAATGGCTATGTCGCTGAACTCCCATGTAGTTGACCATGGTTTGAGTCCCGGACCTGGTGGCTTAAACTCACACTTGGTGCATGTGCGTGTGTGCGTGCCCAAGATCCCGAGAGGAGAAAGGAGGAGAATGGATTGCGACGTGGCCATCCCTCCTGGGGGGTGATTTCTCGATTTCTATCTCTCTATCTCTGTCTTTCTGGCGAGTGCATACTCCCTATAGCAAAAGCCTCTCTCTCTCTAAAAAAAAAAAAAAAAAAAAGAAGTAAATGTGATAAATTCTGAATTTACTCATTCCTCCAGGGGTGATCCCTGTGTTATTATC